TTATTTATATTTGCTTATATAGTTACATGTATTCGTACTGATGTCATGGTTCTGCAGGAAGGTTAAAAGTGCTCAGTATTTTCTCACAAAGTAATTTTTCTCCAAATATCTCCGCACCTGAAACGATTGAAACGATTCGTTAAGTGAATTAGAGTTTACGGCTGGCTAAATCTATCATGTTGTTGCTATTGGTGTCTGTGTACAAATGTTCTCAATAGTTTTATTCAAACGTATTTTTTACATTTGTCGCAACTGAAGTTCCTATCTATTTGCTTTCGATTATACCATGTATCGAGGTATACATCCCGCACTTATATCCCTACTGACAATCGAAGCTGCAATCACCCTTTTCGAATATGCTTGGCAACTATAATTCTGCTCACGGATATTCGAGATGCATGTCCGATATAATCCTATGCCGCATTCAGCTTATCTGTCACCCATTTTATTCTGGCTGTGTCTCCATAGTCACCTGTTCTCCTACAATCGTTGACTGTGTCTTACTATTGAACCAGCGTTCGATCGCTCACTGATGCATAGGTACTATTGACTGGTAGTTTACCCGCAACGATATGTTTATTGCGGTTTGTAGGGGCTTGTATCATTCTTGCACCGGAGTTTAACCTCTGATTCTTTCCCATTTTCCCACATAGGCCCTCAGGCCTTGAAGTATAGCGTGACCGAATCAAAGTTCTGGACAGCTCTATTTTGGGGTATCTTGAACTTCTTATCGCAACTCTTTCAGACGTTCCTTGCACCTCTTTCTGGTATAATTGGGTCAACTGGGCCTGACCGACCTTCGTCGCACAGAGGGGGCGGTTGGGGCGGCAATGGCGGCAACGGAAAGGGCGGACCAGGCATGCGCAATGCGAATATACACGGCGTTCAAGGTACCTATATGCACATATAACGCGTATTCATGTATAGTTGATGTATAGCATAGTATACGTGCGTGTATTCATTGGACTGTGCATCCATATATTCAGCACATTGTAAAAATATACGATACTCAGGTATTGCCATGCACGTATTGCTGTTTAATTGATGTACCGTATATATTTGTATATTCATTGTACTCTGCATCTATATATAATGCTATGAAAAAGTGCATAACGTTCAAGTTAATTCTGCACACGCATACCGTAAAGTTAGTGTTTTTTTGTTTTGAAAACCCATATATTTTAATGCACAACGTGAATGAACACGGCGTTCAAGATATGTCCTGTTCCGATTTTAGTTTGCAGATTGAGATTAAAATGTATTAGTTTGTATTTTTCTGATTTCCTGAGAAGTACGATGTGTAGGTATTGCCACGCACGTGTTCCGTCACTTTCGTAGTCCTTGTGCTCAACGGCATTTTGAGTTATAGACGTATAGGCTGGCTTCTTTTTGTATTGCATCTGAGAAGGCTTTAGCGCGTGCATCGCTTATGACTGTGTAGGAGTGACAACTGGGCTTAGTTTACGTACATGCTTCTATGTATTTTGAGCTCTGGACGTCGTGGTATATTCAGAACGTTTTTTGACATGCGTATAAGTACCTTTTATACTACCACTATGTGTTCATTTTAGATAGGGCAGAACATTTTATATATTTGTTTCAGGTTATTGCCGTATAGATATGTATCAGTTTCAAACTGGTACTTTTTTATTCTTCTGAAACCCCTGATCGTTTCGGAAACGATGAGTTCAGTGCCACGCTGTCCGTGGTTATATCGACTGAGAACTGACTATTTTTCTCATTGCAGGCAAAACGCACAAGGCACCGCCAGCCGGCGGATGAGGTTAATGCCGGCTCATACGTATTTTCACAGTAGGGTGCCGCACCTGTATTTCCTCGAACCGTTTGCGAACTAATATGAAAGCACGCTCGGTCAGTCCACTGCTAGTGCTGTAGTGGTCAGACGAGGTGTGATCGGGACGAAGAAGGATAAGTGTAGGCGCTCCTAATGAGCAGGCTTAAAACTCTTAACATATAGTATAATTGCGGTGTATAGAATAGTTCATACGCATATACGGAAGTACGGTATTAGACTACCGGTTTACGATACTTCTTCGGAGCTAAAGGCTTTTTGATAGTCCTTCGCCACTCATTGCTCTTGTACGAGCCTGTGTGGTGATTGCGCTGACACTTGTGCTTTGCTGCTGCTGAGGATTTCACTATGAAGGTTCGGTGGATAAAGGCTACACTCTTGCCGTGTGGTTCTACCTTACCCTGACACAAAACCGGATGCTCGATGCTCGTGCGTTCTTTTCTCAAATCAATAAATTTCGATTTAACAATCACCCTCAGCTTCAGTTATGGCATTTGCAGTACCAGGTTTGGTTATGACACACTAGACCAGATGCTCGCACAGTCGAATCTCCGCAATGACACACTAGACCAGATGCTCGCACAGTCGAATCTCCGCATTCCGCTACGCTATATCAGCATGAGCCTGCATTGAAGGCCTTTCTATTGTCTCATTTGGGTCAGGCGTGTTTGACGTGGGTGTAGACGACAAATATGACATCTCTTAACCGTTACGAGTTACGAGCTCTATGACAGACGTATACCATAGGCTTAGGTCCATACCAATATGCATTGTCGCTTAACGAACCCTTTAACCGGGAAGCAAACGTGTTTATCGCCATACGAATCCGTGATATTGTACATGAGATGTGATATATACCGGCGTATGGTATCACACGAACAAACTATTCAATTTAATACCATGTACATTGATTGATAACAAAGTATAATATCGCGTATCGAATTCTCCCACAGAGTGTGTTTGCAGTTTCAACACATTAGATAGGAAATCTTAGGCTATGGTCTGAAGCAGTTTCAACTTGAGGTTGGACAAGTCATCGAAAGACACGTGTGGCTGCGATACAAATACTAATACGTCAAATACGACGGGCCATGATCTATACCAAAATTAGTAGTAGACGCGCACTTTGTGTTGAAACATGCCATCGAAGGATGCATGAGTTATCGCAATACATATACATTAAAAAAGACCGACTATGATCTATACAAGGGTTGTTCGCACCAGACTCAAATTTATGTTGAAACATGTAATTGAAGGACACGTGCTATTACAATATATATATATATATATATATATATAACTTAAATAAAACATAGGCTATGACCTATACAAGGATTGTTCATACCATACTCACACATCTGTTGAACATGCCATCAAAAGGACACGCGTGTTATCACAATACATATACACAGTCTATGATGTATAAGGATTGTTCGTACCAGACTCGTATTTATGTTGAAACAAGCCATCGAAAGCCTTACACACTACGCTTACTCGCCATGTCTGAATAAACGATAAAATCAAAGACTAGGGTACCGGCTTGTTACTTTATGCTGAACGTTTACCTCTGCGCTCACGGTAGAGGAGTTACTATCTAAAGTTCGGAAACACCTCACACCCAAGGCTGCACATTTATACTTCGCGTACAGCGTGTGGAAGGCGATGATATTTGGTACGCCATAGTGCTACACTCCAATACGCAGTCACGGGTGCCGGTGTTTCCGTGCGTGTCTAATATTGTGGGGTGCTAATATCCAGTATTTGCTGTCTGCCTGTCTATCGCAACACTCTCGGCGCTGACCATGTGGGTTCGCGCACACAGCACCCGGATCTAAACACTGGTGTCATCTGAGGCACACTCCACTCAGAGGCGTGGTTTAGTGCGGACAGTGTGCATCGCTTCTCCAGCCTGCAAGTCCGGGCTGTGCTCCTGTTCTCGTACTAGTGTTTCCTCTGAACGGCGCGCCTTTACCTAAAAATTGTGTATCACGAGGATCCTTCGTGTTGGCTATACCACCATATGCATATGTTAGC